ATTTTTTTTTTTTACCTCAGTTACTCTTTGCACCTGCATTTTGGTAATTAAATTCTTAAGAGATGCAATTGTACTGAGGTAAGCTCTTCTTTCTTCTAGCCAAGATTCTGAAACTTGTTGAACAGAACGGTCCTCTCCATCACTGTAGGGAGATTCGGTCAGAGAGAGTACCTGCATGCCTTCATTATGAACAGCTCTCAGTAATCCCTAGAAACCAAAATGCCAAAGTCAGAATTAAGACAAATTCTTCTGGGCTGTCAGGATAAACATACAAACAAATATGTTTTCAGACAGATAACTACCTCACATGACTGATTTAATAAGGCCAATGCAAAAAGGAAGCCCCAGCTCCCCGTTACTGATAACTTCCTCCTAAGGATGGGGGAAACCAGCCCACTAAGTTCTGACTTTGTGCAGCTATTTCTAAGTTCCTTTATCTATTGTGCTCTTTCTATATTTAAATGACAGTTACTGATCTAACCAAAAGAAACACATGAAAGAAAACTTAGTGCTTGAGATTGTTTTTTTATAATTTTGGCAAATAGAAATACTAGGAAAAGATTTCAAAGCGATCTTCATAGAAATGATCATTAAACACACTGCCTCGTGCTGTATGTAAGAAATGATCATTAAGCACACTGCCTCGTGCCATATGTAAGAAATGATCATTAAACACACTGCCTCGTGCCGCATGTAAGAAATGATCATTGAACACACTGCATCGTGCCGCATGTAAGAAATGATCATTACACACACTGCCTCGTGCCGTATGTAACAAATGATGATTAAACACACTGCATCGTGCCGTATGTAAGATAAGGAAATGAGACACAATTGATCTGGCTCCTTTTGGTGATAACATTCTTTTTTTTTTTGATAACATTCTTTTTTCAGGGAGGATTCTTACTATTTAATGTCTTATTTGCTGCATAACCTCTACTCTGTTCAATGTGGAAGTGACACTGGCTAAGTTTACTAAGAAATATCTGGCATTTAGTACCTTTATTTTCTTTGGAAATGCATCTGTTGAACTTTCACCTTCATCTGCTTGGCCTTCCGATGCTGCATCAAATCCCTGACTTTGTGTAAGATAAATTCCCTGTCCCCAGTCGGATCCAGAATCTGAAATAAAGAAAGCGACCATTTACCATATAAAAAGTCTTCAACAATGAATACCATACCAATTCCAGAAATTTACACAACTTACCACTGGAACAGATTTCTCTATTTTGGTATGTGTCAGAATGTGTTAATTCAGGAACTGAGGATCCCTGACGAGAGAAAATAAAACAAACATTTTTGTCTTAATAAAAATATAAGTCTGGTGAATAATTTTCTTTTTAATACTGTCAAGAAAAAAACAATGACATCTGTCACATTTTTCATAATTAAGTAAACTATGATTTCACCAAGTCTAATTTTTTCTTTATGTTTATTGCCATTAAAGAAGAGATGCTCATAAATTATGGAAGGATAATATCTCTAATATAGATGGTCCCAAATCCACACATGAGGTTTTTTTGGAATGTTACTAACACTACACAGTGAAAGATTTAAAATTATAATTGTATCATCAGGACCAGACTACCCTCACACTTCTTTTTCTCTTTAAAACAGATAGTTAAAAAACCCCATAGATCATTTAGAAATACAAATTATGTAATACCAAGTACCTCTTTAGTTCTCAGACATTGTATCACTGCCTTCAAGGTATTGCATTCCTCTGTCAGCAACTGACCAGCAACAAAATGCTCCCTTTTTAAGGCTTCTGTTTCTGAAATATGTCTTGATTCCATATCCAAAATTTCAGCAGCATGCAGTTCTTGCATTTGTTCTATTTTTTCAGTAAACTGACCGATTATTTCAGCAACTTCTTCTGATGAACAGTCATTCTGTAAATCAATTTGGATTCCTGCATTTCTCACAACAATTTGTGGAGTCTGCTCGCTGCTATTGATCTTGACTGTGCGATCTGTCTGCGATGCAGAGCTCTTACCCACTTTGACAGGTCGTGACTCTAAGCTGCAGTCCGGTCTGTTTTCTTGCTCCTTTGTCTTATCTTCTTTTTCTAAGTAGGATAATTTCACTTTTGCCTCTTCAAGTTGATCCCTAACCTGACTTAACGCTTTCTGAAGAGATGTCATATTTGTTTCTTTTACCTAAAACATAATGAAGAATAGTAGAATCTTAAGTAAAAATTTTTTCCATATAAAATGTAGATTAAAAAACAGTTTGGGCATACAATTCACATATTATATAATTTAATAATTCAGTCTTACTTAAGAGTAGTGGTACCATCATCACCACAATCGATTTCAGAATATTGTCATCTTTCTTACTACACTCATTGTTGTCAGTTCATTTCCCACCAACCTCCCCTGCCACGCCCCTTGGGAATTATTAATCCAGTTACTAGTCTATAGTTTACCTACCCTGGATTTCATATATAGAAAATTATACAAAACAAAAACAATAAACAAGCAAAACAAATAAAAACCAACAATGACGATATAAAACACAGAAAACTCTCAATAGAAAGAAAGCAGAAAATATTAAAAACTCAAACAGCTTTACAATGGTTCAAAGGGAGATAAATGGTAAGGTGTAACATTTTACACTAACCACGCATGTGGTAACTGACTTCCCAATGCTCTTCACACTTCTGGACTACGCTCAGAGTGGATGCACCTGAGACTTCAAACATGCGGGCACCCTGCAAATGATTTTGGGCTCCCACTGCCATCCATAGCCTTCTGCAAACCCGGTGTTCACAAAGTAAGCTCTGATAAGCTTCCCTCCTTCAGATTTGGATTTTATCATTTATAGTCCTTGGGTCACACAGGCTGGGGTGCTTCTTCCATGTGGCTTAGTTGATAGCTCACTACGATGGCTGCTTGTTTTAGGACAAGCCTTTAATTTAAGGCCCTAGATGCTCTTTTTTCTGAGAACTGGGCACCATCTGGTTTCTTCCCCACACTTTGTCAGAGCACCCATATCTTGAGTGATCCCTTCATGAGGCAGAGTATTGAGTAGGGTCACATTATGAGAACAAATTGTTCTTAGAATAGGGCTACGAGTAAGTGTGAGGCCCCAATCCATTCATATATCTATGGTTTATCTATGTCTCTGGTACACTCAGAGACATCACTGTCATTAAAGAATGGGGGAATATTAAAAAAAAAAACTCATTCCAACTCATAGCGATCCCAAGGACGGAGCAGAACTGCTTCTGTGGGTTTCCAAGACAAACTCTGAAATCAGGAAGTCCCATTTTCTTCAGTGGAACAGCTGGTGGTTCTGAACTGCTCACTCCATAGGCAGCAGCCCAGTCTGCTGCCCACCAAGCCCCCAGGGGTCCTCAGGGGGAAGTATAATCCGTGCTATCACACACTCACCTTCCTCAGAGTAATAGGGTCAACCCTTCGGAGACACTCATGGTTACACACACACACACAACCTCTGATTTTGGCTCTAAGGACCTCTTTAACAAACTGTCTTTCTTGTTCTTTGTTAATACACCAGAGATTAAAAGCTTTCTCATAACAGATTTCAGGAAAATCAAGCAAGCAAGTAGATGCTGGCAATTTATAATCATGGAATTTTTAACCAAATCCATGAAAGACTATTTTATGTAGCTTTGAAGTCATGGGCCTGGGTTTGTTTTTATAGAAAATTCACTCTGTGAAATTAAAATATGGAGAAACAAGGGAATTAGGAACTATAGCACTTATTTTACCAGAAGTTCTTCTTGAAGTTTTTCTGCCTTTTCTTTATAACTGGCAAGTTCTTCTTTGGTAGCTGCCACCTCAGCTCGAAGAGTTTCAAGTTCACCAAAACATATACCTTCTTTGGTGTGAAATAGCTCAGTAGTTTTCTGAATGGCAGTGGAAAACATAAGATGAATATCATTAAAGAAAACAAACACTAAACCAACTCTAAGGTCCTTTTCTACTCTCATGAGGCTTTTCAGGAAAGCCTGTCTGCAGAAACAAGGGCTGGGATAATCAAATCTCCACCTTGGGAAACTTCTTCAGAACCAGCGTCACGAACGAGTACTGGAGGAGAAGTGGAGGGGGAACACACACACACACACACACACACACACACACACACACAC